TACCTGCGAACGCAAAATGTCATAACGACGCAATTGCCAACACAACGCGTGTGTGTACGAAAACTGACACGTCCAAGAATGGACATCGATGACTTCGCAGGTCTTGAGACTGGTCAGCGCGCAAGTCTCCCAACGAGGGGACGCCTCGGAGTCTATCGTATTATTCCGCGTCCATTATATGATTTGTTGTCACATGTGGGACCATCACAGGTGGACACACATCTCCTGAATGAATCCGGAGTGAATGAAATCACCACGCGCACAATAGCTCAGAAGGGTATCCGTGATTCAAAGCGTCGAAAAACATCTCCAGAAATGAATTATGTTTGAGATATGAATTGTCATCGAGGACAATTCATTAATTTCGTATTCTACAAATTTTATGTCTGCTCGAGAAAGAATTTCTATACAATTATTAATAGAAATATTAGAAATTCAAAACGTTGAGAGATACAAAAGCGCTTCACGGAAAATGTTTAAACAGGGGCGCGCGTGAAAGGTCTTTATCGGGGCGGCGGATTGTTGCCGCTGGCGGCGGCAACGGCGGAGGGTGTATTATTACATTATAACAAGTGGCTCCGCGCGTCAAGAGATGAGCGCGCGCGCTCTCGCGCAAAGTGGCGAGAAGTGGCGGAAATTACACAAACTATTTTCGAATGGGGGCGTCTTCGTCGCGCGCTGCGGCGGCGGCGGCATTGGGGCGTTTTAGTGCGCGTCGTGTTCGAGATAACGACGCCATTTCCGCTCCGTTTTACACACACGCGCCGCGCGACGCGCAAACAACCCTTAAACTGTTTATAACACCACACGAGCACACAATCAGCAGTGTAACCAAGGATGAACACATACAGAGTGTTCCAAAATACAAAAACCACCTGAATTAAATACAAAACTTTTCAATAAATTATTTTTACGATTTTAAAAACATTTTTGGTGATTAATATTTTTTTAAAAATATTTTTTGAAACACTCTGTGTATCCATCTAAGAATAAATCAAGAGAAAGTTCTAAAATACTAAAAAATATTTTACCTTTTCAAATAATTAATTTTTATGAATTTATAAACATTTTTCTTAAAAATAACTTTTGAAACACTCAGTATATCTTGGGTGTAAGTCAAGTGTGATTGGGAAAACGTCGGCGATACGCTTGTTCGCGCGCGCGCGCGCGCGCTAGACTCACTCGAAATAACCAACCCCTAATTTTCCAACCCCTAATAAAATTACAATCTTGCCACCGCCGCGCGACGAGAACAAAAGTGCTAAAGGGTTGACGCTGTGCAGGGAAAGGCACCGGATGATAATGGCGGGACGAGAAACGGGTTTGTTTTTGCAACCCGCGCTACACCTACGAGCATCCGGGGTTGCCTATTTATAGGGAAAGTGATTTTTCCTCTCAAGAACCTGACAGCTTAATTAACTCGCAACGCGTCCAAGGTAGACAACCCTCTATACTTTTGCCTACACTGCGGTTTGAAGGTATTATACTCCTCTGTGTGTGAGAATGTGTAAGTGTGTGTTTTGGTGGGGCGGCAATTCCGCATCGTGACATATAGCGACCGATAACGGCTTGCGCCCCGTGCCGCCACTTATAATAGTTCTATTGCATAATAGTCTTCTCTTCGTGCGGCTCCATTTCCTCGCCGAGCGCACCCAATCTGCACACAACGGCAACAACTCAATAGAATAGGACGTCGACGGCGGCGGCGGTAGAGGAGGCGGCGGCAGCTTCGGCGCCTTGTTATACGCCGGCGGAAGGACGAGGACGAGAGGATATGAACTCGGCGGAGAAAGAAGCCCGCCGCGCGCGGCCGGAGGGTGGGTTCTTATCAGAAAATGAGTCATAACAACTGACAGACGCGAACGGGAAATTGGAATAAGAAATTTTCGGGCGTAAAATGAAAGATAGCCGCCTGGCCGTAATTTCCTATAACGTCGAAAGCGATCGCTCGGATGCATTCAACCCTCGCGCAGTATTCAGGGACCCAGCTATTGAAATTTGCATAAAATACGTATTGTCACCAAAGTTTTTTTTTATTTCATTTACTAATAATTTTACTAGTAAATAATATTCATTCAACTTCCACCTTTAAAACGCCAGATTTTCCACAGTTTTGAGACATAAAAAATTGTATTTTAGGTACGGAAATACTTTAGTCACGGGTTTTAGTCATGGGATGAAGCTAAAACTCCCGTTTAGCCACTTAATACTTAATATACTATTTTCTACTTCCTCTTTTAAAATAGCCCGTTTTTCCAAGGTTTTGAGACACGAAAAATGATACTTTAGTCACGTAGGAGTTAAACCCGTGACTAAAGTACTTTAGTCATAAGATGGAGCTTCAAATACAAAAATCTCAACGTGGAAGTAGAAAAAATAGCTCTAAATGTTATTAAAGTGTCACTTAGCACACTTGACACTTAAAATATTTAAAATTGATAAATTTTCTTTGTTTTATTTTAAACTGTGTGAAAATAGGGAATCCACAAACAGTCTTCTCAAATGGATGATGGTTGATCGACACACGGCGATAGAGGATGTGCGCGCGATCGACAGGCGTTCGTCACTCGATTTAAATAGGCAGGCGCGTCGTCGGACATGTCGCCGCCGCTGCCGCCGCCACACTTCTTCGCCGCAGCGCTTATTTACTACAAGAGATACACCACGCATACCCATCAGGCGCGGCACGGCACGTTTTTCGGCCGAACAATACCCACAAACCGTCTTTGGTCATTCGCGACGTTTTCGTATTGACGCCATTGATATCCAGCGCGCGACTCTTTTAACTTTTAACTCGTCAGCATGCGGATATGGTATTCGTATTCGCATTCGCTTGTCACTCAGGCGCATTGATTGAATTTTGAATAAGCTGTGACTAACAAAGCGCGGCCTACACGTTCCGCGCGCGCGTAACATAAACGTAAAAAAATTCAATAATAAATTTTCCTTTACTATTTTAAGGCACATACATCTTTTAAGCGCATGGTTAATAGGGGGGCTATTAGTTACATCTCCGAAGCGTCCTTAATATATTTTTAACGCCCGTTCGGCGTGCGCTCAAGCGCGGAGAAAATGAGTGACGCCCATTAGTTTCAGTTAAACATCTTCAAACAGCCACATTCTAGAGACATCTAAGAATCTTCATTTGCTCACACATACAGAGTGTGTTCAATAAAAAAATTTAAATCCAGTAGCAGTTTTAAAATAATCAAAAGCCATTTTCCACTAGATGGCGCTACTTAAAAATCTAAAAAATGAAATTCTGGTTGCCAATTTTTGACAAAAAGTATTTAAAATCTATTCCCCGCTAGATGGCGCTACTTAAAAAGTAAAAAATGAAGTTCTGGTTGCCAATTTTTGACAAAAATATTTAAAAGCTATTTCCCACTAGATGGCGCTACTTAAAAGCTAAAATATGAAATTTTGGTTGCCTATTTTTAACAAAAATACTTAAAAGCTATTTCCCACTAGATGGCGCTACTTAAAAACCTAAAAATGAAATTCTGGTTGCCAATTTTTGACAAAAATATTTAAAATTTATTCCACGCTAGATGGCGCTACTTAAAAACATAAAAAATTAAAATCTGGTTGCCTATTTTTGACAAAAATATTTAAAAGCTATTCCTCGCTAGATGGCGCTACTTTTATATATATTATTATCTATTATTGTGCCGGATGAATACGTAGACATAAATAAACCTCTTAAAACAGTCCGAAATTAAATATTTTTAATGCCTCGTTTGAGAAACATAAATTCCTAACAAACCAATTAACGATTTTCCATCATCGCGATCGGATTGTTAGCGACATGCTAATTAGTTAATATTCATTTGGAAGCTGGGAGTCGTTAAATTTCGTCGAAATATTTTAATTCGTCGGCGGCAGCGCGCTCGCGAGTTAATTTAAATTTTATCGTTAGATTTCGAGCCGAGAGTAATTTATTAAAATCCGTCGTTTCGATCGATGTTATACGTGTGTGTGTGTGTCGCGCCCGGGCTACCGGTTAATGAATGTCGCAATTCCGCTTCTAATGACATTTTTATATTTTAATTTAGATGCCAATAGGCCAAGATGCCTTGTTTGTTGTGTTGCGTTGTGTAATTAATTAATTTCGAACGGATCGAATTTATTGAAGCATGAAACGAAACTTAACGAACGACCGAACGAGAAACACGCTTTTGGTTTTATTTTTATTTTTACGTTTTTGCGAATTCGCTTTATTGATATTAATTAGTGATTAATTAATATTATTTATATGTAAAAATATTAAAATACCATGATGATAATAATTTTAAACATGGAAAATAAAAGATTTGGTTATTTTTATTATTTGAATGGCGTAACAAATTTTTTTCTTTTGTGCAATGGTGAAATTTTGTCATTTTCTTGACCCGAGAAAAACCGGAGCAGGTAGTTTTGCCTTTTCTAGACCAGCGCGCATTGTTATTGTAATTTCGTGTCGGTTTCACACGGCGCACAAGGCCCGTGGACAAAAAGGACAAACGGTAATTGCCACTAAAAATCGCCGCCAAGCGCAAAGTGAACACGAATTTACGAGCTAATTTTACGCCTGGCTTTTTTAATTTTCCCCAGATTTCGACAAAAACCGAAAACTCATTCAAAAACGCTCCTATCCGACATAATTACGGCTGCGTTAAATTATGTATATCTTTAACATTTCAAATTTCGAAACGAAGAGGTGTAATTAAAATGTTGCCCGAACCGGCTTCTAATTTTTTTCGTTTTAATGGCGTGCACGCGTAGGTGTATTGAATACTTGGCAGAAAACACTATTTCGGTGATTTTCGGCGTGCCTACTTCCACACGGCTTCGTTAAATTGTTATTGCGCCGAGATAAGATTCCGGCGGTGTGTTTAAAGTGTTCTCGGGTTCATCGTCATTTGTTTTTTACGAGCCGCACACAAAATAATCATCAATACTCACTAAAACCCTCCAAAAATGCATTGGTATTGTCGCATTGGGAAGAAAAAAAAACGAAATATTTTTTAATTTTTTTTATCGTCTTTAGTCTGTGTTCATTTTCATTTATATACAATAGGTAAGTATATTACATATGTCACATATACAAACAATATGCTTATAAATATTTTATTTACATGAGATTCATCTGAGATTCAATTCGCATTGGAATTGTCGCCGGGCTAAATCATCTACGCTCCTTTCTAGATTTATCAGTCTTATAAAAAATTATGTTATATACAAGCTTATATACAAAATGTACATTATCTGGATTATTCTTAGTATTATTATTATTATTAGATTTGCACTAGAAACTTTGTATACAATTTGCACAACCGTAATATTAATTTTTGGTTTCCACTGATTCTCGAAATCTCCCCTGGCTGGTTAATGATGCATGTTCATGATGGCATCCTGCGGGAAGGCAAACTGTGGCCGATGGGCCATCGCCGCCGCCAGGAAGGGCGATATCGCATGTCCCGGCGCGCCCGGAAAGAGTCCGAACGTCGGCGGGAGTAACGGGCGCGCACTCAATCGCAGCTTCTCCAATTCGGCTTCCTGCAAGCGCTTGGCTTTCGCCCGTCGGTTCTGGAACCAGATCTTCACTTGCGTTTCCGTCAGCCGCAGCGAGCTGCTGAATTCCGCGCGTTCAGCGATGCTCAAATATTGCTTATCCCGAAACTTCTTCTCCAACGCCAGCAGTTGTTGAGTTGTAAAAGGAGTTCTTGGTTTTCGATTGGGTTTGTGTTTACGCAGAGCACAGCGGACAATCGGAGGTGTATTCATGTTGACATTAGGAAAACCCATACCTGCAGCAAAACCCTCTGGGAGTTTGTGCATTTTATTCCCGGGAAGTTAGCATTCGGTTGCTGGAGCCAAGGGAAGGGCCATTGATGCGGTGGACCACTTGGGGAACCCATCAATCTACTCGCCATCGACGGATGCAGTGGTTGTGGGATGATCACTTGCTGAGGTGATAGAGATTCACGACTTTCCAAATCGTCCATATCATCATCATCAACGGTGATATCTTCATCAGCTTCCTCCTCGGATTCAGTAGGCGCACGGAGTCTAGGATGCTGAGGGAGATCATCATCGTCCTTCAATGAATCCACTGGACTAGTCGGGGGTTGTTTAGCTAGCAGTGATTCCACACTGAACGAGATCTTTGCCTTCGTCGCGGTGATCTCGGACTTGGTATCCTCCATCATGATCATTGGTATGGTGACACTTTCACTTTGATATCCAGAAATCCAACAAAGAGGGTTACACTGAACACTATGTTTTTTTTTAATGGTTGTATGTTTGTGGTCTTGAACTGAACAAACGTGTGTCGCTCTCAGCGTTCACTGCTCGACTGACTTTTTGTCCGACGCGAGCTCCGGGGTCTACTTTATGGGAGACCAGTAGGCGGAGCGTCCGGGTCGTCCTCCGCGCGCGTACAAAAGACCTTCCCATTGCGAACCCCACCACCACGTCAATACCAAAACGCACGCCGGGACAATTACAGGTAGTTTTTGATTCCGCTGCGCCGTCACGGCTCGTTGCCACAGTAACGACTACCCTCTTTCGCTAACCACCAGCTTAGAGAATATAGATAATAACTAATTTGAACTCGATTACTTGTTTCCCAACCCCCACCACACACCACATCATACACCAACGAGTTGTTTCTAACTAGTAGTAATTTTTATCCGCAATAGAGAATAGAAAATGGTCTATGGGAGAGCAATTCATCAACCACCAGGTGAGCGCGTTGAGCAGGAGTTGCATAAGTTTTCGGCCGTCCTGCCGCGCTTGTCGATTGGTTCGACAGCCAGCAGAGGTTCGATCCGCAGGCCGCCTCGCTCTCTATCTTCTGGTTTTTTGCGCGCGCGGCATGCAGACGAGTTTCGCGCGGGCAGAAAATTCGAGAGGGGAAATTGGAAGGTGGAGTAGACGTGGTGAATTGTGAGCGATGCGTTCCGCTCCCGCCAGGTGCAGAGGAGACCTAGGCAGGAGACGTGTTGGAGAGGGGGGGATAATAAAATCAATTTTATGCTCCCGTATCAACACGCAAGCGACTCATGAAATGGTGCATTGCATATTCTAGTAAACTACAAGTGCAGACATTGATTGATCAAAATTAGTATCAAATCTAACCTAAAAATTATAAATACAAAGGTCCCAGGGATATTTTTTTTTTGTGTGTGGATGAAAACTACTTGAACCAAGAAGAGTTGTTTGGAGTTGAATGAAAAAACTGCGTTCGAATGAAGAAATGAAGAAACCAAGAACGCGCAGTCCTATTAGTAGTAGATAATTGAGTAATGCTGACGTTAATTAAACGTCTCTTTTTGCGGGAGCAGCCACTGAAAGTCAACCACAAAGAGCGCAGGCAGGCAGACGGCCATTAAAGCCGCACGGACCCGATTTACGAGCCGAGCACATCCACAGTCTGCTTAAAAACCCTCTCGCGAGTCGCTCGCTCTCTCGAGCTGGCGACAAAGCCAGCCTACAACCGTAGGGGACGCGCAAAAAAACGTTTCGATATCTTCTTGCGCCACATTTAATTAAACACAATTGCTTTGCATCTCAATCCCAAAAAAGACCACGCGGCCATTTGCATTTGCAGCAAACATCTGAGTCTACTCATTCCCATGAGATCCAATGTCTAATTAACAAATATTTTTGGGTGGTAAACTTTAGAATATGTAAATTTCGCAACCCTTTCACTTTTCCTAAGGCTAGAGGCGAAGGTGGAGGTGGAGGAAACAACAAATCCTTTTCGTAAGTCAAACATTGTATTGACATCGCGATGTGCCGTCGACGGGCGGTCCGACCGCAGCGCACCTCCGGTGGTCCTCCTCACTGAACAGAGAATTCGTCGCTTCGTGGTACCAGAGAGCGTGATTTGTGACAACACTGACAACTGATACAACACTGCGTGTATCTTGTACTTGTACTTCCTAATGGGATATTTTGCTAATCTGCGCGCTTTTCACAAGTCACAACTTGCAAATTGAAGCGTTTATATCATCCAAAACCAATTTCCATATGGCCCCGATCATAAATTATCAACTTATCCATCATGCGACGGGCGTGGAAGTGATTAGCACTTTGCAATTGGCATTCTGTTGCAGTTTTACGTAGAAGGGCACACACAACTTGCGTATCCATGACACAACCTCCCCCCGTGCCGCAAAAATCAATAACATTCAATAAGCTAATAAGCTTACGAGCGCGCTCGTGCGCAATGAATCAACGTTTAATGTGATTTTCAGCGGTTCCATAACCGCACCGTCGATTTGCATAATCCAAAGTGGGCAGTGGCGCTGTAATGATTAGAGGGCCGGGCAGCGGCCAGCGTAATTCCACTTTTAAATTCTTCCCTGCCATTCTATGCGAATGTAAATTTTGCTAAACTTGAAAAAAATTCGCTGCTTCTTCCCGCTGATGAACGCGCGCTGGTTTGCTGGTCTTAATCTTAACGACTCTCACTCAAGAGGGAAAAAAATGCGAGCGCGTGTATTAATTTCGTTTTCTGGTACATTTAATTCAGCATTTAGCGTTTTGCGTTTCCTTTTTCCCGCCATTATTACATTACCTACGCTTGCGATTATTTTTTGTACTCGTAGGCTTTTGTGTTTCGCTACTTTTTCATATTCTTCCCGTCCTACCGTCCGGCTGCGCGCTTTTTTTAATGGCGCACTTGGAAATTTACACGTAATAACGTAATAATATTCAATGTCTTTTTTTGCGAGCGTCTAAACGCCCCGACCATATCGTTATCTATTATTATTATGATTATTACAATGACAGAAATGTAGTCGACGGCGACAATGCGCGCCTTTTTATGTTAATGCCCCCGGCGCGTATAAATATTCGCAATATCTTTTCAGAGACGCATTTTAATGCCGCTGAGCTTTGCGCGCGCGCTATTTTTACCCAAACTTTTTAAACTGGTAATTTTGCCTGCTGCTGATTGTAACAAATAATTACCAACGGCGCGCTAAATATTACGTTGAGTATATTGAATGTTTACCTATCTAATCTGTTAAACATACTATAATTATAGCGTTTATTGTGTGCGTCCATCGTTGGATATAATTACGGGTTCTAATGGCAACTAATCATAGTGTAGGCCAGGTACGTACGTTTTCGAAATGGTAGCACTTAAAGATAATCACATTATTTTCTTTTTACTGCTTCTTAAAGCGAAAAAAATTAAAAAGGAATCAACTGAAGACAAATAGACCAAGAATTTAATTGGAAAACTACTGAAATTGTTTTTAAATATTAAAAATTGCAAATTACAAACAAAACGAGAGAAAAATACCATTTTGAGTGAATAACTCAACTATGACGTCACTTTTCTTATAGCTAGGTAGGGGAAGGTAGCCTAATTTGAACCAGCGCCTAAGTTGGACCACCACGATATCCGCGGACTGTTGATGTTTTTGCAAAAATAGACAGGCCCCTTGTTTTACTCGTATTTATAAACAATTGATGCAACTATTTGGGTTAAAACTTGCCGCATGCTTTCGTCGTGACAACAACTTTTTGTATCCTTGATTATCAAATCTATTATAACTACGTAAGTGCATAAGCTGTCAAGCTGTTTAAACGTTAGATTTCACGATTATAATTATATCATCAGAAAGCTTATTTATTTATCTATAATTTATAGTATTAATTTGGAGAGGTTATGTTATATTAAGATTGTCGTTGATCATTAAAGAAAAATTCTTCAAGTTGCCCAAGTTGGACCGGAGACAGGCACCGGGTTTTAACAGGGAAAACGTATATCATTTTTTTGATCTCTTAGAAAAGCTTGTGGGCGAGCACAAATCTTCGAAATGATGCAGTGTATGAAATGCCGCACTTTGGTTTATACAAAATGTGCTTGTGTTTCTGCTAAAACTAAAATTTACTATTGTGTCAATTGCCGTTAAAAAAGCATGGTCCAATTTAGGAAACCGCGCGGTCCAATTTAGGAAACCGGTTTCTTAATTTGGACCAAAAACACAATTTTTTTAAATTGAAATTTGAGGGGTATAAATATAATTTTTACTTAAACCAAAAATATCATTTTGTTGGTAAGCCTTGTGAGTTACTTTTCCGCTACTTAATTTTTATTGACAGTTTATATGTGGCTCTATAAATCAAAAAATATAAAAATGGTCCAAATATGGCTACTCTCCCCTATAACGAGGAGTGGGGTGAGATGTTTTTATATAAAGTTTTTTTTAAAAAACTGTCAAAAATATTTTTTTTTACTTTCTTGAATATTTCAATAAAAAACTTGAAAATTTTCTAAAAAAAAGTTAAACTACCAATTTAAGAAAAAACTCAACAATTGAACTTCAACAATTGAACAACTGCCAAAAAAATCGATTTTTTTCTTTATTTTCTTGAATATTTCAATAAAAAACTTGGAAATTTTCTTAAAAAAAATGAAAAAGAAGATAAGTTACCAATCTAACCAAAAAACTCAACATTGACGTCACTTCCTTAATAGCTGCGTCAAATCAGGAGTGACTACAAATGTTTTTATTTGATTTTTGTTCGAAAAAAGTCAATTTTTCCCTATTTTCCTTCTTATTTCAATCAAAAACTTGTCAAACCCTTCCAAAAACCCCCAAAGCAATCACATTCATGAATAAATTAAGTGTGAAACGCCCCTGATGGAATGCAAAAAAATAATCTCTTTATTGTACACACACTTTACGCATGCTAATCTCTATTTTGAAAACAAGCAATTCCTCTTTTTCCGGATTTTACCCAAGCCCTAGGTACCTCCATCTCCGCATGCCTTATTGACTTTTCCGCAGCTTGCTTGCAAGGTAAAGCCCATGCAACACAATACTCCGCAAGTGTAGGTATGTCTCGAGTTCGGAATTGCCGGAGAAGCGATGATTGGCTTATTGGTTTAAGCCCGCTTAAGCAGCGCTGACTTATCGGATTACGCTTGTAATTCTAGAAATCCCATCAGACGAGCAAGACACGTTGTTGGGCGAGTAAACGCGTGGCCAAAAAGTGTAGTTATTTACATATTCATGGCAAAACATTCTACGAACGCGTAAAAATCGGATTTAGTCAGAAAGTCATGAGATGAAGATAATGTGATTGGTAATCGAATTTGCGGATTTTCACAACTGTTCGCCAGGGTGTAGGTACGACTGGCAATTGTCACGATTGTCAATAGGCTGACAAGTGATATAGGACGTGGGAGGCTTTCGGGACACATTTGTGTGCTATTGTCATCTGAAGTGCTCGGCTATTATGTGTAAACAAATGTGAATTTAATTAACACCTGACATGTGTCAGTAAATCCAGCAAAAAATTTCATTATTTTAAAACACCGCAAAAAAAGACATTCTGAAGTGTCACTAGAGGACCATAAGC